GTCGTGTGCATCTGACTTCATCTGGATCCTTGGGTAACTGCTCATTGTTCACGTCACCGTAAGTCACCTCCACCACAGCTAATTCCCCGAGGTACTGGATACCTCTCTCCATGGTGGTCCACTTGCCTGGGTGACATATAACATCTTCCTTGAAGGGATACCTTTCCTTCACGCCTGACGGGAGTCGCCTCCAGAGGCCTACGGCTTGTGCCTCTTCTCCAATTGCTTCGTCAATGGTCCCTTCCCTAGAAAGGGATCCCAGCTGCTTGGCTTCCCTACCCTCTAATTCCAGGCTACCAGCCCCATTATCCCAGCATCGGAGCAGCCAGGTGACAATGTGCTGAAATCTTTTCGCATATCTCGCAGCTCACTCAGGGACAGGGACCGGGTAGTTATCGTCTCATTTATGGGTTCTGCCTCTTCCTCCTCCTGTTCTTGTGATGGCCCTGGTTCATCTTCATCCCTTACTAAACGAGCCGATTTTCTTGTGTATTTTTTCTTGTGTATAGAGGCAACTGATACTGGCACAGGTTGGTTCTCTAGTTCAGCTGCAGTACCTGTCTCAGAGGCTGGGGGAGCAGAGGCTGGAGTAGCCACAGTGCCTGTCGTTTTGCCATCAGATCCAGAGACTTTCTCTTCCCCTTGAGGGTACTGAATAGCGTTGAACAGGGCTCAGTAGGCATGGGCCAGGCCCCAGCACATTGCAGTGATTTGTGTTTCCCTAGAACTGCCAGGGCGACAGCATACTTTTCCCAAATATTCTACTAATCTGCACTTGTTCGGGGTGAAGTTCCAAAATACTGGAGGGGCCTACTGTCCTAGGCATTTGCCCATGCTATCCCAACACACCCTGGCACTCATAACTGTACAGCCTTGGGACAGACCTCCAGATGATATTCTTAAATTGTTTATTAACTTTAGACAAAACCAAAACAATATTCCCAAGAAATACCTTAACTACTCAAGGATGGTCAAGATACTGAAAAGTTGTTGTAATGAAGAAAGAAACATCGTAGAAGGTAGCGAAGGTGCCATTCTGTATTTCCTCCATTAAAAAAAAAAACCAAACCTCTCAGAGGAAGAACTATAATTGCTAATTGTCTCCACGGGGTGGTACCCAAAGTACAGTAATGGCTTCGGTACAAAACCCAAATACCAGATAAAGCTCACGGTCATTGTTTTGAAAACAAATCTCCCAGGCAAACATCACTAATCATTGCAGAGCACAGCAAACTGCAAAAGTGAACATTAATCTTTAACACATACAGCAAAAACAAGAGCATGGTGTAGATCAGATAAACTAATATCGAGAACAGATGAATCAATATTGTGACTGACACCTGTTAACAGATATAAATTCCTTAATACACTCTGGTCCATCTGTTATTATCTCAAACCCTTTGTCCCACATTGGGCACCAAAAAGGACTGTTGTGGGGTAACCCCAGCCAGCAACTAAGCACCACAGAGCTGCTCGCTCACTTCCCCCTCCCTGGTGGGATGAAGAAGAGAACCGGAACAGTAAAAGTGAGGAAAAACTCATGGGTTGAGATAAGAACAGTTTAATAATTGAAATAAAGTAAAATAGTTGTAGTAGTAGTAATAACATAAAGCAAATGATGCAAATGATTGCTCACCACCCGCTGACCGATGCCCATCCCATCCCCAAGCAGTGGTCCCTCCCTCCTGGCCAGTTCCCCCCAGTTTATATACTGGGCATGACGCCATACAGTATGGAATAGCCCTGTGGCCAGTCTGGGTCAGCTGTCCTGGCTGTGCCCCCTCCCAGCTTCTTGTGCACCTGGCAGAGCATGGGAAGCTGAAAAGCCCTTGACTGGTGTAAGCGCTACTTAGCAACAACTAAAACATCAGTGTGTTATCAACATTATTCTCATACTAAATCCAAAAACAGCACCATACCAGCTACTAGGAAGAAAATTAACTCTATCCCAGCCGAAACCACAACATTCAGTTATTTTTCTTGAATTTTACATGAGGATTTTAGAAATAACTATAATATTCTGGAAATCAAATCAACACTAATGCCAGACTTCACCACATCTCCAATTGATCTGCATTGTCGTCAGATCAACTGCAGCACACAGTATCTACTTTCAGATACAGTTCTGTGCCAATATCCTGAAGATCTGCCTGAAGAATGCAAACCACTTCCACCACAGCCAACTATGCTCTTCATCCTCCTCTTCACAGACAAATTAATTTTTCTTCCAACACAGGCTGTTGCTGCCTCAGACAGATGGGTCCCTTAAGTACTAAAACCAATTAGGAACTAATCCCTTTGCAGGGGCAAAGCAGCCTCTCTTTTGC